CTAACTAGATTTACTTTCTGATCGAACGAGGTACTGAAGTCAAAAATCGAAGCATTTTTACTGCCCCAAAACGTGATTTCAGACACAAAAAAACAAAAAACAAAACACACATCATGGTAAAATCAATGCATTCATCGCTCCGCTCAGAATCTAAAAATGTATAAAATGCAAAGATTAACTAGTTAAAAAGTTAGTTAATTTATTTAAACTTTAAACTTAGCTTTTCGCAGTCAATTTAAAAATAATCCATAAAGTTAAAAACTTTTAGACGATTGTGGTTTATACGTAAATATTAATATAAAATAAAAATAATGCAATACTCTAAAATCACAAAAATTCGTTCTTTTTTTTTTGATAAAATAATTTTGTATATTGAATTATTGATTTTTAATTGGTATATACAAACACAGTCACTCTCCATGTGATTTACATTCTATAATTTTAAAAATAGATTAACTTTTTTTAAACTGAGTTAAGTAAATATTTTTTCCCATATCAACTTAAATTTATAACTTGTTAACTTTTAACTTGACTTAATTATTTTCATAAACTTGCCCCCCTTTTAATTAAAATGTATATATATAAAAAAAAAAAACAAATACACTTAAAAGGGACTAAAATTTATTTTTAAAATAAAAATACAAACTGTACATTGTAGACATACATTTACAAATCTGTGATTAGTTAAGAAAATTGTTTGACAACAGCTTATAAAATACAAATAGTAATTTTTGGTGAAAATATATAAGTAGGTTCTTTAATCTTGCAAACAACTTATGCTCGTTTAATTCAGTATATTATTTTTCTTAGTAAAAAATAACATTTTTTTATAATTTCAAAAATAGAGTAACACATTTGAATATTTTTATTTCAAAGCGTGACAAATGCTATTTAAAAATGAAAAGACCATAAATATTTTAAAGTTCATGAATTACGATATTGTATGTCTTAACAAAAAAATAAAAAATATTTTGTCAAAAAATAAAAATACTGTAAAGCACACATTATTAGTACTGAATAACTATAAGCTTGATGTTTATTTATAGTTACAAAAATACTTTATCACGTTTAAACACACTAAAATATTGAAAGTAAAATATTCACATGAAGCAAAATCAATATAGTTTTAGCTGTCATTATAATATTTTGTTTTCAATTCTGCTGAAGATTTTGTGTATACTTCTTGCATTGAAGTTCTAGACTTCTCAATAAGACCAGTTAAGTCATCTTTGGTCATACCTTCAGTGGGTATTGGAGGCAATATTGTTATGACTGCATGACCTTAAATAACATAATGTATATTAGCAGTAATAATACTAAGAATTATATAATTTTCATGGAATTAAAAATTAAAAGTAAATACCTTTAAACCAAAAAACTTAGCATTAAAATCGGCTTCATACACGCCATCACTACGACAAAATAATATACAGTGAAAACTCTTTATAACAAAACTCGTTACAACGAAAAACTCTATTTTACATAATTAAGTTAACTTATAAGTTATAATGGTTGATTTGATTTAAAMCCTATTAATTACTCTCTATTACAAAGTCTCAATAACGAAATAAATCACATGGTTTCTTCAGATTCGTTAAAGCGAGTTTTCACTGTAATTTAAAAGGACRTAAATACTGGAATTTGTAGTCTCCTTACAAGTGCGCAACATACCAAATTTACCCTCAGTTGATCACATGTAGCTTTGCTAGTTTAAAAATTAGAATGAATTGATCTCTTATGAAACTTAATGGTATGAACATTATCTGTGTTTGCATGTGGATTTTTAATGATAGTTCAGTTTTAAAGTGAGTTATTAATATTCTTATTTATGCTATTTTATACATGCAAAACTTGCTAAAAAAATTTAGTGTTGCAAAAAAACTTCATACACAGACAATGTTCTTGCCATCAAGTTTAATCAAGTTGATTCAGTCTCATTTTAAACTAATGAAGCTAAAAGTGATCTGCTGAGCTCATATTTGGTTTATCATACACATGTAAGAGACAACAAATGTCAGTGTTACGTTCTCTCAATGGTTTGAATTTAAACTTATCTATCTCTAATAAAAAACTACCTAATATGATTAGTTTATTTCTGTATGCACTGTTTTGACACAACAAATATAATTTAAATATTTTTGAAAATTAATTTTAGCCCTCGCTGCATAATAACGCACATATAATAGCAGTAACTGATTTTAATAAGTAAAAGATAATAGGATTAACATTTAACAGTCAACAATTATCATTTACCAGGATCAAATGTACGTTTTCCGTGATCCAAAAAGAAATATTGTGTCACAACTACTGGCTGTATTGGACATTGAGCTGAAATAGCAACATGGAATGCACCCTTTTTAAAATTTAAAAGTTCTGGTCCACCGTGCCTTGTGCCTTCAGGAAACATACAAAGCTTTGCCTGTTAAAAAATAAGTGAAAATAAATGTAAGAAATTACCAATACTGAATTTAATTTAAACAAAAGATTTTTAAAATATACTACCCTTTTCATTTTAATTATGTACTTTCACTACTTCTTAATGCTTATTATATAAGAAACATCAAAATATTCATTGGGACATCAAAATAAATTAAGAAAACAACTGTGCTCTAGAAAAGGATTATACTGTTAGCTGTAATTACTTGTTTTTGACGAATAGCTTCTCCAGTTTTATTAAGGGTCCTCTGAGCACTTTCTGCATTTAGACGGTCAATGAATATTGTTCCCCATAACCACGACGCTAGACCAAAAGGCCAAAAGTAAAATATTTCTTTCTTGGAGATAACGGTGCATTTTTCCATTACCGGATATATTTCAGACAATACTGAAAAAACAGTAAATCAAAAAATATACCGTGTTTATTATTTACAATAAAAACTCACACAAGTAACTCCTTTACCTAATAAATCCAAACAGCTTTGATGATTGATCAAAACAACACAACCTGAATTTTGAACAATATTTTCTTTACCCTTCATTTCCCATGTTATCCCTAATATTTTTGATACTTGGCGTTCACCCCATGCTGGTAATCTGATGAAATAATAAATAAAATATTAAACTAGATATTTTTTGCAAACATTTACATTTATTTACAATCCATTCCTGTAGTCCCTTGGTTTCCATAACATTAATGGTATGAATACAGTTGCAGAGATATATGACAATACTGTAAATATGGTATATTTGGCGTAATAACGAAAAGCATGACTAGAAGTGTACATGATGATAATAAACATGATCGCGACAGTGCTGGTTATTTCAAACTTATAGTCGTTTATCAGTAGCATTGTTATGAGGTCTAAGGTCGTAACATAATCAGGAGCTCTGGAACACAATAATTTATTTTTTGTTGAACAATTCTGTGTAGTCACAAGTTAAAACTATTTCAGGAGAAATTTTTCACAGTACACAAAAATTGTAAGTAGGTACCATATATAACTAAACATATTACCTAAGCATATGCTAGATGAAAAAATTATATATATAGAGTTTATGATCCCTAGTTTGTAACATTTCATTAACAATAATTTTGCTTGATATCTACAATTGAGGTCAACTATGTAAAATATCATAATATAGGTATAACTAATTATAATCATATATTTTTATAGGTACCGAGTAAAAATAATTTTATAATATGATGTTAATGATTTAATCAACGGAATAAATATTATTTTTTTCAACCATTGTTATGTAATTCTGATGACGTACCTATTATGTGGCTAAATATAATAATATTTAGTTCAGTGATTTAGCTAAGTGAGTATTCCAATTTTTAGGTTATTTGTTATATAGTTTTTGATACTAACTCTTCTACAACTATAACGCATTACTAAATATTCATAATACGATGAATTATAAATTGTTTATGATAATAAATAAGACACATTAATGAAAGGTAGGTAGAAATTATATAGATACAGTATACATTGTACAAAACTAATGGAATTATTTAAATTGTCCACATGTTAGTCTTGTCATGTACCTAACCATTAACCTAATATATTCAAATTAAAATAGGTGGGTACAGTTAGTAATTTATATTCATTATAATTTTTAAAAAAAAATGTGTTAATTAGGTAGCTTGATATTTAGCATTCATTATTGTTTCYTATATAATATATGTAATATAAAAGGTGCTGCGCAATATTAAGTGAGCACAAATTAGTCTTGCATTATTCAGAAAAAAAGGTTTAATTTATAAAGATGAAAGCAGATATGGAAAAAAATATGGATGTTTTAGATCTTAAATATCTAATTTTAACAGATTTTTTATTTTATTATTTGTCAAATCATCATGATATAATACCTACATACCCTATAGATATTTTAATTAAAACATGCTAATAAACTTCCTGAGATACTTCAAAAACGTGTACTTACAATATTAATTGATCAATTATAGCGTGAAGTTGGATTCGAAGGATTGATAATTGAATATTACAATATTGAAAAAATTATTATTTCATTGAATAGTTACGGCCGGCAAAATAATAAAAACGATAGGTAGCCAGGTATAGTTATTAACATTATTTAAGTGAATCTCGAATACCGAAGGTTTGGCACGTCGAGCGGTATCTTTAATAATGAGTATCATCCGATTTGGTTTCTGAGAACTATAATGAAGAGTTGTGGTGGAACTCGAAACGAAAAACCTGTGTAACTGTGCGAGGTCGACGACGGCGGTTCGTTATAATTATTACTTTTTAGGCACCTTATTGCGTAAACGAAAACTGGTCGTGTAATGACAATRTGACATTGTTCAACTAATCTACTCTCTCGACGTGCGCTACATCGAGTGTCTTTAGAGTAGTAATAATAATAATAGTAATGAGATATAACGCTCAAACGATATTACGGAAATGTGTTGCATGCATAATTGATCAACATAGGATTGATTATGCGTCGAACCGCGCGACCGACAACCGGCGTAAGCAAGAATCAGAATAAATTGTTAATCGGGACGAAAGCGGCGATGACAGGAAATATTATTGAAGTTACACCGTTGGTTTTAATCCCAACTGAAAAAAAATAATTGAATTACCGTTTTTAGTTGAAGTATACTGCATTGCGTGTTCACGTTGTATGCATTAGTGTCTCACAGCGCGCGAAAACTAAGACGATGAGCGAACGGGCGTGCGGTTGGGAGAGTATCGACCGGTCGGAGTGTCAACACGTGGGGTATAATGTATAAAATTAATGATAATATTATATCATATCGATCAGAGGAGAGAAATGACAGGTAATTATCCGTGCCAAAAACAGAAGAAAGCACGTATCGTCTACGGCAGACTCGGCAGAGGGTAGTTAACTACACACAGTACACAATAGATTGGCAGACTGCCAGAGTCGAAATCTCGGAAAACTAAAATAGTAAAATCATCAATTATGAAATGGGCTCTCTATAAGGAGATAAATAGATAATACTAGACACGGACAAGACAGTCCCAGTGTCCCACAGGTCACAGTTAGTAGTTTAGTATTAGTAGTTAGTACCACAGTAGCAGCTGTTGGACTGGTACATTCGGCTTGCAGCTGCAGTTGATAATGATGTTTTCGTACACGCACTGAAGCACGGTCACACTACAGAATGTAATATGAAACAATATATCAATATAATATTATAATATATCAATGGGTTGCACAAAAACACTTTTATGGCGTTTTCTACTACGCTCCACTGACTGCACCAGTGCATATTTTGATATTTCATCGGCAAGATTAATGTGCATTGAGTGGACTTTTTTATGTTTCACCTCAATGCACTACACCACTTTTTTGCACCCAGTGCAATGATAAGTACTCCAATTCCCTTAGATAATATACTATGGATGTAGCCACTCGGTATATTATGCTTGTGTATTGATATGAAGCCATAATGACTGAAAACGCTAGAGCTTGGCTATTACTGCGCATGCGTAAATGACTGATAATAGTATAGTATATGATCACAGAACATTATAATATATAATATTATTTTATATAATCTGTGATAATACTAAATATAGCATCAGATGTCGTCGGTTGGTCACATTGTACGGCGAGTGGTCTCGTCCATAGTAGAAAATAGTAATCGCCTCGACCTGACGTGGTATATGATGGTATACTGGGGTATGAATATTATGTCAGTGGTCACTGACTGTATCTGTATGATGTAAGAATATGTTACGCGCTGAACAATCCGCTGGCCCTTATCACGGTCCGTCGTGCGATAAATGATAATAATTATTAATTATTAATTTTCTGTGTAGTGTGTTCCGTTTCCGTACTTACTACTTGTCTTCCGTCCATGGTTCTCACTTCTCATTCCACGTCTTACACATTAGTTGTATTATAATTCAGAACTACAAAATACAAACCTAAGTTGTTAGAGAACTTAGAAGAGAACAAAACGTCATAATGAATGTTGTGGTGTCCAGTGAATGTAAATTAATATACAATTTAATATTAATGTTATAGTTGTTGAAGATCGGAATAATAGAAAATCGTATCATCTGAATCATCATCGAGTAACCGTGTATGCATATTATTCTAAGTWCGAGACTTGCCCATTGCCCGGTATCAGTTGTCTTTGACACTACCGCTAACAGTAACACTAATAATAATAAACAGTTTTCCCGACTCTTGCGCTTTCTCAATAAAAATACGTTCGGGTCTAACTTCTGGTCGAATCTACATCGTCGACTATTTATGGTTTCACGAACAGATTTCACCTTTCCATCTGACAAATCTCTTATCTCGCAGAGTACCGTCGCTGTTACCGCAATGAACAGAAGAAAACTGAAATTGGACATGACACACTCTGCTTCAGATGGTGGTAAGTCGACAAAATCTCTTGCTGTTTAGGCTGATTGGTTGTAACTGTACTTACTATCTTCAAAACTATAATTTAATACTAATAACACTGGTTTTTTTCCTGATTGTTACGGAACACATAATCAATACATTATTTCTCACAACCCAGGGTGTATCAATTTTCATTGTTATTGAGTGATTTTAAATCAACTAAGTATCGTAGGGGTATCTAAGCGGAATATAGGCAGCCCACCTGAAATTTAGTTTAGCCTCCCATCCCATAAATTTATATATTTTTAGAACATATTATGTTGTCTGTCAGAAATATAATGAGCTATAAGTAGACTTTTTTTATAAATTATCATCTATGCCTATGCTAAGTACCATGACATGTTATCCTAATCACTTTTTAGTTACTTATGTTTTTTTCTTATACTACGTTTAATTGCTTTGTTGCATACAATTGGTGGTATTTCTTAGACAATTATAATGTAACTAGGCTTAATAAATAGTAAAAAATATAATGAAGTCTTAAAAAGTTGTGATATTGGTACAATTATTAATTATTTATAATGAGTAATGACAATACCTAATACTATATTAATTATATCTATTAGGTATATAGTTAAAAAGTATTTATAACCTGTAACGGCTGTAACTAATTAATTTATGTTTACAGAGTCTAAAGAAGTTGAAAATTACGTTAGTAATGTCAAAGAACAGATTATGAATGCAACTGAACTTAATAATTCTGACAATGGTTTGTACTTATTAATAGAAACTATTAGTTTTAACTTATTGTATTATTTTGGGGTACTTTTCCGTTTCCCAATTACTGCCTGATGCCGTGAATAATATTGTAGTAACTAGCTAATAAGATCATCTGGAATGCCGTGTTTGAGACGTCTTTGAGTTGGTAGATGTATTAAAATTGAAGTATAATGAACCTGTTGATTTATAAAGTGAACTATATGGAAATTTACAGCGAGGACAAATTGTCATTTATATAAGTATAACATATGTCAGTATAACGACAGAATAAATAAAATTAAATCAAAAGAAATTATACATGGATTTCTAAAAGTTCCTATGGGAGGTGATAAAAATACATCTGGCATATTGGATTTTGAACAGTAGCCTTTTTCCATGATATTCTTGTTTTTCATTATTTTTAGAAATATTTCAATATATGTTATCAAATGGATAAACTCCCCCAAACGATCTACTCTGGTTCTCTTATGTTTTTTACTTTTCAGTTTGGGAAAACTCCAAAGTTAGATAGGGTGATATGGCTAACTAATTCACTTAAAGTACTAAACTAGCTTATAMCAATATACAAAGGCAATGACTGCAGTTGGCTACAACGGACTTTTGACTAGCAGTAATCGTGGCATTAGAGGTGGTAGTCRATATAACAAAATTAAGACCAACAGTAGTTGACGTAATGGAAAAGTTCCTTATTTTGTTATTTTATTTATAATTTCTTAKAATAAACGATATATTTTTTTTAATATTTAAAAAWGAATAATTGCAATCTATGCTACAAGGCATAAGAAGTAAATTAGAGAATAAAAGTAAAAATAATTCACAACTGTGAATTATAGTAATAGGAATGCCATCCAATGATAGAACCCAGCATTATTTATTTTTATCTTTTTCTATATTAATCATAAATCATAATAAATGTTAAGCTCGGTGCAGACCAAGAAAAATTTTTTGGGAACATATATTGCTGACACTGTCATCGACAAATATTTATGTTACCGCTTATGATGGGAAATCAGAAACATTGTCGACGACATGTCGGAAACACTTGTTTTCGACAAATTTTTCTTTGGTCTGGACAAAGCYTTAAGTATATGTTTTGAATGAAATAAACATTTGTATAATAGTTGTATTACATTCRAGGTTATATTCAACAATAGTACTTACCTCTTACCTATGTCTAATGTAAAATATTTAAATTATTTTTTGCCATCTTGAAATGTTGATCAAGAGGACGTGATATCCACATGTGTTGTCTTAGCTTTACAAATACTTAAATAACATATTTTACACTCAGCAAATCATGTTTAGCTCCATTAGTTTTAAAATTAGAGTTATTTTACCTCTTATAAAATTTAAAGGTAAGAATATTGTTTAGACAATCTCTAGGGCTTTTCAATRTAATTGAATTTTAAAGCGAGTTATAATARTTTAAAAATACAACATAAAATACTTATAACTCGCTTAAAATATGTAGARACAAACATGCGGGTAACATGAGTGTCCTCTTAATTAATGGATATTGAGCACTTATACTTGATAAACATAACTAATGCATGATTTATGTTTTTTTTTTTTTAATGTAGTATGGCAGGAATGTTATGATGATGTATCAGGTTTTATTTACTATTGGAATACCCAAACAAATAAAGTCACATGGGAAAAACCTGAACATTATGAAGCTGTACACAGTATTGAAAATCAAGGTATGTTGGACATTATTGATAACATTTCAAATTAGTGTACTATGATTATATATTATTATGAATTATAATAATTATCTTGAGGAATGATAAAATAAATCAAAGTATATGTTGTAATATTAATTGCTAAAATTATGTTTTAGATGTTGAAAACAAGACAAAAAACTCCAGAAAACGGCTTTCAAGTGATTCCTTACCTACCCTTGATTCAAATTTATGTAATGGTTCTAAAAAATCTAAATTAGAATCTAAAGTTTTAAGTTCATTGGTGGCTTATGGAAGTGATTCTAGTGAGGATGAAAATGAAGATGATAAGGATCAAAAAACTACTATACTTCAAAGGTTGCAACAAAAGGCTGAAATGTTCAAACAAAAGGAATTGGATAAATTATCTAAAGCTAAATCACCTGGTTTGTGTGAAACAAATGGTCAGCCTGATATTTTAGACATTATAGACAAAGAAGTACCTCCAGATTATTTAGTAGAAAAATCTAATACATCAAAATCTTCAGAAAAGAAAACTACTGGTGATATACTTGATATTTTAAAAAGTGAAGTACCCCCTGATTATGTAGATTCTATATCAAACAATAATACTGGAGAAGAAAATAAATTAATTGTTCAGTTGGATGCTAATGCAATTGGTAAACTACATTCAAAATCTATTGAAAATGATTCAAATTCTAAATACCATTTAAATACCGATGAAAAAATAAACAATTCGACTTCAGATTCTTTGAAAGAAAATTCATTTAAATCTATTAATCTAATTGCTAATTATGGTGAAGATGATCTTGAAGATTTAGGTAAATATTTCAAAGTATTCATAAACTTAATAACAATACCTATTTTGATAATGGAGAATTATACAGGATGATTYACCAAGCATGCTCACCCCTTTTTTTCTTTAATAATGAAGTTATTTAAAATCTGATTTTTGGAATCTTTAAATATACTCAAACATCATATTTTCAAATTCTTGAGATTTTTTGTACCATCCTTTAATCYTTTGAACAAATATTTTAATAACTAGGAAACTACTCGTTTGAATTTTGATTTTGATACATCAAAATTTTCTAAAAAATATCTGCTAAATAATTTGGAGTAAAAAAAGGGTTTTCATTTGAAAAACAAAAGTTTGTATTGCCACAGGATAAGTGTTTAAAAAAATTCTCAACTATTTAAAACATAGTCTGAGTATATTTAAAGATTCCAAAAATCAGATTCTGAATAACTTCATTATTAAAGAAAAAATGGGTTAGCATGCTTGGAGAATCATCTTGTATATGTATCTGTATATGATTAGTTATCTATTTTGTAATATACTAAAAATATTATTTTTGCATATATTATAGATGACCAAAAAAGCGAATCAACTGAGAAAACACTTGCATATGTCCAAGACCCATGTGCTAACRTTAAAATTGGATTTGGTTATTCTGTCTCATCCAAACACAAAAATGGAGGTTCTATCAATTTTGTTAAAGGCGAAACAATAAATGTACATGATAATCATAACTTAAATAAGAATAATGTTTTCAAAAAACATGAAAAAGATACTATTAAAAACTTGGATATGAAAAAATGTAATGCATTATTGATTATTTTAAACTAATATTAGTTGATTTTTAATTATTGATATAGTAATTTTAATTTTACTTTTAGATAAAAACCATATTGAAGATTTGTCCTTACTGATCTCATCCAAATTACATTTTCTGTCAGATTGTGAAAATAGTGAAAAAATGTCTTCAGTTCAAGTTATGACTATTAAAATTGATGTAAGTTTAATGTGTTTTTAAAAATGAATTTTCTTTGTGAAATATTAAATTATATAACTGTATAATTATTAAATAGTTATTTAAAAATGTTTTATGATACATTAATCTTACTAAACAATATTATCTGTTAATGTACTTAAATTTTAAACCAAAATTTTATGTTCTTCTATTAAATTTTCAATAATATTTTGTGTTTTTTAGACTTTAATGGAAGCATGGAAAGATAGTTGTTTGAATGATGAATATTTCTCAAAGTGGTTGGATGAAATGGCTATTGAATTATGTACTTTAGAAGAGTCAGTTACACCGGACGGATGGACATGCCAATGGGACAAGTATGTGTCTTGTAATTTGTTAAAATTATGGACTAACAAAATATTTCTTTACAAAAAAATCAAAACATGTATTTTATTTACTAATATTCATTTAGAAGGGGGTTTATTTTTATTGAGAATTTTTCAACAAAATAATAGAAGTACTATTGATTATCAATAGTGAAAATATTTTGTGATAAAGGCTAAAACAGTATTTATTCTATTCATCAGAAAACAAGTAGGTATGTATGTGGGGATGCATCTACACAAGACATGTTCAACTTCAGTGCAGATGAAACAACGAAAATCAACAAAATTGACTTGAAATATGCAAATTAATTAATTATTTCTGTAATAATATTATATTTTTACTACTTTATATTTAATAGTATTCAGTTGTATGATTTGCATATGAGTCGTGTTAAGCGCAGGTGGAATAATATGGCAGAATTAATATCTACAAGACAGGTTTGTCTCCAACAGGCTCTACAACAACATTTTTTCATTATTAAAATGGTTATTTGAGTCAAACATAAGTATTATTATTCAATAAAGTTTTATATTATAAATTGCTATGTAAATTTACGAAAAAAAAAAAAAAGAAAAAATGTTAGTATAAATATTTTAAGCATATTTTTTTTAATTTTAAAATGTCTTTTCAAAACTATTAATACTGTTTGTTTTATAATGTTTTATTTTGGATATTATTTTAGAATTAACACGCGGTATTACTATCAGAATGATGTTGATGGCCGTACTCAATGGCAATATCCAACCGAGGAATCTGAATGTACCCCTTCACCACCTATGATATCTAATTCAAGCACTCCTCCTCCTCCAAATATTTCCGATCAAAATTCTTGTCATCCTGAACCAGTAGACATGGATATCGATGAAGATAACCATAAAGAAGACACAGAAATTATTGTTGTATGGAAAACACAATTGCGTTTGATAATCTTATTTCACTGTTATTGAGTTTTTTTTTTTTTCTTATAGCCACCAATCCCTGGAGACGAACTATCATATGAATTGAATTCATTTTATGCCGATCTTGCTCAGTTTGAATCAAAACCAGCTGGACAAATTGAAACAATGATTGCTGTTCCACCACCTGAAATTATTGAAACTGAGTCAAAATTAAAAACACCTACTTATACATTAAAAAACACTCTTGAAGAAGAAAAAGATATTGTAAAACCAAAAAAGAAGAAAAAGGTTTTTATATTTTTTTTATCATTTCAACTGGTAGAAATTATCAAAATGGATAAATTATTTCCTCATAGTCTGTCTCATATCTAAATAAATAGATCATATTTTTGTGATACGCATACTCTTTCCTTGTMTATCACATAGTTTTTTTATAATCAAATTGTGTCTATTTATTTAGTCATGGTCTGTCCGCAATATKTCAACACTGATCACTGATGCATTAATATTTTTAGAGTGTTATGAGCTTTTTAGATTTATACTATATTATTTATTTATTTATTAAAAAGTTATAATAGTACAATGAAGCAATATTTGGTTCATTATACAATAATTTAAATTGATTAAGTTCTAATAATGTTAGCAAATCTTAGTTGTGAGTTGGTATTTTGGTGATACATAGATATTGATAAAATTGTAACAAGTAAAATAAGTATAATCAATTTATAACATAATAATACTCGTAATTACAATAACAATAATAATAGTAGCACTACTACTATAGTGATACATGGATAATTGATCCAAAATGATGCTTCCTCAATGACAATTTTCATCACCATAATAAKGGGTTGGTCCATGGTATAGTTAGTGGTGCTAGTAGAAATAAGAAAGGAGGACTTAGCCTTATAGAAAAACGATGTGATTTTAAAGTTGATGCAATTTAAGAGGGACAGAGAGTCAATATCACCACTTAGTAGCTTACTGTGAAATTATGTTTACTTCAACCCTTCTGTCAGCTCGTAAGGGTATACTCTTGCGACTGCTGGTGGCCACAATTGATCATAATTACCATGCCACATGACCGCTGGCAGCCATAACAGAATTTGGCTTTATAATATCAACTTATTCATGGCATTACAACAATGCATCAAAAATATTGCCATGACGTAGTGGGAATCATTATACATTTTTTGATATAATAAGTATATTTAAAAAAAAAAATTTATATTATTAAACTTCTTTCAAACACATCAGCACATGGCAGTCAAMGTGRTGTACAATATGTAATATAACGTTAAAATAATGTCCACCTCCATTGAAAACATATACAATTTATTTTTAGAAGGTTACTGTCCAAAACATTTAAATATACATAAATGTATTTATGATATATCTTTATTATATAGTTATATGTTTTAAGTTGAATATGTATCTTATTAAAGATAGGTGTAATAGTCTTGTTTAACCAACTAAACCCTTAAATGAGCTCATACATTTTATAGCATAATTAAATCAATTGTTTAAAAAATATTCAATATTATATTKATGAATGTGAATAAAATAAGAATTAATTATAAGTTATTATATAACAAAATATTTAAATAATATAATGTTAACTGTTTACTATGGTTTTTTTACAGGTAGGGAAATTGGATGTAGGTCTGGGATTAAAACAAAAATATGTATCGTCACTGGTACAGAAATGGCAACAAATTCAAAATGAAATCAAATGACAACTGTTTTATCACTCGCCCCTTTGTTGTTTTAGATTAATTTCTAAGTCTTACCAATTGAAATTTTAACAATATGTTTGTAAATTATGTAATTACTTTAAGAAATATATTATAATATAAATAAATTTTAAATAAGCTAACTTTTTATGGAATTATTATGATGTGTTAAATCAGTTATTTAGAGGATGTCAGCAGCCTACACATTATTGTACACTAACAATTAGAATCAAAGAATCACAATGAAATAAGCTCACATCTAATGAGTTTGATTAAGTATAAACTTTCTTTATTTTAAGACAAGAACTTAATATAAGGCTTAACATATCAATAGTTACATGGCAGAGAATCATCTAAATTACACTTAGGGTCAAAGACACTTACCTAGAGAAAAATGTGTTTCTCCAAAGTGTATGCCGATATAATGTAACTATTGTTGAACAATTTTAATTTTATATATCCTTTAAAGGAATATTCCTACTTAAAAATTAATATGTCAAAAATCCTAGGTAATATTAAACAAATTTCATCTGTAGTATTTTTATTATATAATTTTTTCTCTAAAATCATTTTTTAATAATATTTGACCATTTTAAGTGACTATGTTTTCATCAATTAGTGTGCCTATACATGACCTCTTGTAAATTACTTAAAATATTATTTACTTCTTATATATATTTTAATTTGTAATTTGTATACAATTTTGTTGAATTGCTTACATTAGACCACATGAATAATGATTATGTTTGACATCCTTTCAATGCAAGTTATTATATATTATTGAACGATGTTTGATTTAGAACATATCAAACAGGCTACATAGACTACATGACAGAATTAAGGTTTTGTTTTCATCATGGCAATTTATACTCATAGTATGAACCATTACCATAGTATTACTGATTAAATGATGCAATTTTTAATACAATTTATAAAAATRTTAGTAAAGTAGAAGTTAGCAATGTACATKTTGTAAGGTATAATTTAATACAAGTTTTAATTGCTTTTTTAAGTTTTTAAAAGATGAATAAAAAAATAATAAACCAATCTTGGATTGTAAATCTTGAGTATAGCTCCCTTTTTAATTTTTAATGATGTTTAGTATTTATTAAAGGTAGGTACTTATTTCAACTTTGAATAATTTGTCAAAATTTTTTACATTTTCAAATTTATCCGTACCTAATGTTTGTTGTGTTATAAATGGGCGAATAATTAATTRTTTTTAAATCGTTTCTACCTATTAAAAGTGATCCTCCAATTTTTATTGCATAAACACACATTTTAAAAAGTATTTTTCACATATTTAGAGTTAACTATTATTTTTCCTATTGGGCTCATATTATCTTATTTTTTATCATTTTACAGCTCAGGGCTGGTAGTAGCTTCCATCACATTTATGACGGTTTTTTTCGACACACTGACACGACCACAAATGCAGTGGCCGGTCTTGAGAAAGATAATTAAATGAAACAATATAATTATGTTATATTAATATATTATATATATTATAYAAAACAACATGGTTACTGACTGGCAACGGGCAAAAAATGTATAATTACTATAATTTATTGTTAATAACTATAATATAATATACTATCTCATAAGTCATAATAATAGAACAAAAACTTATCCAATATCACAGAACAATATCCAATGTATTATATTGTATTGTACATATTTTGTACTATTTGTACTCAAGGATTATGTCATGTGATACAAGACTTCATTATATATACATATCAAGGTGGATATCCACCGTGATACATATATTACCATTTAGGTACCATAGATAGTTTAATATCAATGAATATTACTTTATGATATGAACCACAGAATAGCTGATTAAATCACGGTCTAGTCTCAGAATAGTCAGAATAATAAATTATTCTGTGGTCTAGTTAGAATGTTAGAAAGATATCTTCTATTTATAGAAATACACCYTTGACCGTGGATTAAATCCACAGACGTCATATTCTTTACTAACTATTATAGAAGTCTGTGATTAAATCATAATGGAAACTGATAAGGGAATACACAGCTCTTATGGCCGCCCAAAAATATGATCATTTTTTGATTCTTTTTTTTTCAATCAAAAAAAATCATTTTTCAATCTATTTTGAAAGGGCTTATCAGTGTTRACCTAAAATTCAATATAAAATATCTTTAACACAGTAAATATTTAGTATACAATAATTTTTTGGATCTTCAGTTACCAAGTTAGCTTTTACTTCTGAAATTTACATGATCCTTAATTACATTATTCATTGTATGATGRGGCTTAATGGAAGAAAATTCATCTTTTTTCTTTATTAGCGCTTTTAACAAGACTAATGAGCTCAAAAATTAAAAATTACAATATTAAAATAAATAATTTACAAAAATTCAAACGAGGAAAACAGCTTTATGTATGAAAGAAATAATAAGTAAAAGTGATACATTTTAAATTTGAATTTAGGATTTCAGGCATATTAAAAAGGATATTGATAGACTTAAGATAATTGAATACAACAAGGCGTTTAAAAGATAATATTATAATTTGGTACTTGTTTGTTATCGCCCCGCCAATACACCGAATAAAATTTATWGCCCCGCCACTCTTGTTTGTTATCGCCCCTCCAGTACATCGCATACAATTTATCGCTATTGCTAATCGTTTGTGATATATTTTAGAAAATGAGAAAACTAAATTTTATCATTTTTATGATAATTTTCGATTAGTTCGTTACAATAATTTGCAACAAGTGGGATTCAAACATAATACTGTAAACCACACGTATAATTTTGTCGATCCGGACACAGGGGCTCACACCCAACATATTGAGAGGTTGTGGGGTT